GAAAATGTCTGTACACATGGCCAGAAGGAAAAAACTGCATAGTAATGAAGGAATGAAAATGGTATTCTGCAGAGATTTGCTTCTTCACTTGGTGTTTATGGTGGTAATAGCTAGTGATGGAAGAACTGCAAAAGATTTAGATTAATGGGGTATTAGTTTAGAGTTCCTGCCCAGCTTACATACCTCCGCAAGTTCCAAATATATTGCAAAAATTTATCTACATTATTTGTGTCTGCAAAATTTGGGCTGGATATCTCCTTAAGAGAGGTTATTTGATAATAGATCTGGTGATTCTTTTTCTGGAAACTAAACCTGCAGTTCAGTTTAAAGGATTGGGAATGAGAGAGTGCATGCGGAAAGGCTATGCAGGGGAAGCTGTAGCATAGCTTTCTCTATAGCCAAGTCACAAAATATAGCACTATGCAGTTGCCAAATTGTTGAGCTGTTTTTTAGGGGACCTGAGGGACAGGATCTTGACCTCCTCCAGAAACGTTAAGGAAACTTGTTATTTTTCATCCTGTATATAGAAAACACCCTGCTCTATCATGTCTGTTTACTCTAAGACTATTTTCTTTTGTTTCCTTTGTGCATATTCAGCCTTTGTGCTTCTCTTAATCCAGATTTTAGGGACAGTACTTACAGCTGTTTATATTCTTTACTTAGCACTGATCTGAGGGGTATTTGAGGTGAACTGGGCACAAAAACTTGCATGGGAGATGTTCTTATCGGAAAACGCTATTTCATTGAAAGCAAAAATTTCCCCCGGAAGCTGTTAAATTTTTTGTAAAGAATTGTGACAAAAAATGTCTTTAAGAAAAGGTCAAAACTTTAGTATATTTAAAGAAATCTAGTTTCTTCTTTTTGGAATGACTTCTCATTTTAAAATCTATTTTCAATTCGGTAGTGAAACATGGTCTCTAAAGTCAAAACTGGGGCGGGGGGGGAGAACTGTATTCACATTCCAACTCAAAACAAATAAAATATGACAATGCCTTTTGGAATGGACAGTTTGTGGTTGAATGTGCAGGAATCATTTCCTCATCTGTTGTCTTCCCATACAGGCAAGAAAGGTGTTGTAGTGATGAAGTTCATATCACTAGTGTTTTCTGAAGGAGAACCGCTTGAGTAGGCTATGCCACAAAGAGCATGAACCTCATGTTGCACACACAGCTTTGTACCACTTAGGCTGGCTGTGTTCAGAGCATAATGCTGTATCACAAAACAGATTACCTAGTGGTAGGGCAAAATGTCCCAACTGGAGACGTGAAAGTGCATCCCTGTATAAAAATGCACAGTTTGATTGATACCGGGGGAGTTCTCAAAAGCCATCTCAATCAGATATAGGAAGGGGCAAAAGTTTGTGGCAAGCTTTTCTTCAAATTTGTTTGCTCACACTTACCTTGGATGTATGACTAGTGCCTCCGGCCGAGAGATTATCTTGTCTATGTTTTAAGTTGCCTGAAAATTGAAGAAACAAATGATTACTTCAATCTTGGTTAAAATGCTGAGCTAATAAAGCTTCTAAGTTGTATAATTCCTGTGCTCCCTACAAAGAAAATTGAGGTAAAAACACTGACATGAATTTCCCAAATGCCTGGAACATTTGTCTCCCATTTAGGATCTGAATGGGCTGGAAAGACTCCTGCTCTTTAGAAAGACATTAGACTATAACATCACTAACTTGTAACACTGGAATTAATAAACACATTAGCATCCTCCTATTTTAAGAAATTGTAGCACGCTACTTATAAAATGTGACTTTAGACCTGTACTGCCTTACATGTTGGGGGGACTGTTATGTCTCTTAAGTCAGGTCATGCATGCACCTAGTTTTTGGCAAGGATGTCTATGTGAACTTCAGGTAATAATACAGACCATCAAGCACAGGCTGTGGACAAAGCCTTTCAGTGGTGTGGGATGTTATCGTAGCTTTATTGATCAAAGTGAAACTCCAAAACTTGCTGGTAGGAAGTCTGTAAAAAGGCTGACATCGAGCCTTCCTTGTGTGTTGATCAGCGGTATTGTATCTGCACAGGGAAAGCTATGGAGGTCTTTCTGTAGAAGCTTATCATACAGAACACCAAACCAGTCATAAGCAATCTTTATGGTTCTTCACCTTGATCCAGTGTTCGGTGACACTGGATAACTAAAAAGGACCTATACCTCACTCTAATAATTTTCTAAGTGTGCTGTTGTCACACATATCATCACTTATATACAAAGCAAATTTACTTTATGAGTTTTAATGCACCTCTTTCTTTACCTTCAGTTTGGCTTACTTGGTTCTCATGCTTTTCTTCTGTCATCATTTCTGCCCTTGATATTGCCTTCTTTACGGTAAGAATGTATCTACTTGTACTCTTCAAAAACTCTTCCCAGTGGGCTTCTACCCCTCTGCATCCCTCTGATAATGGATTATATGGGAAATGGTTAACATTCACATTCCCAAATGTTGTCCAAAGGTTTTTCAGTTAAGCTGAGTCACAAAAATGATTGCCATTGTTTCAGGTTTTCTGTTGCTGATTCTAGACTACAACTCCGCGCATGTTAAATGGAAAGAGAAGCTAATGTTTGCAGCCATAAACATTACAGAATTTCTTTCAAGCAAAAGCTCAAATTTCATGATACCTATCACATGCTTCATCATTAAGGGACATGTCTGACACTATTGCAAAAACAGACAGCAGCTGTGCTCCTGAACATACTCATTTTCTGTGCCGCTGTAGCCAGGACTGTGGTAGATTTTAAACTCTGTTCCAGAAGCTCTGAGTCCCAGCCAAGGTCCTGCAGAGCTGGCTGAATTTTTCCTTTTAAAGCATGTTCTTGTCCCCAGATGTCTTTATGCAGCACTGTCTGGAAGCGGCAGGTGGGTGACTGCCTAGTCATGTCACAGGGAAGGATCACAATAGAAATATTTCATCCTTCATTGCATGGTATCCTAGAAGAGTATGGGATAGCAATGCTGTTGCTCTAGGTAATCTGAACCTGCGAGGCTCTCCTCCATAGCACTGAGATAATACACTCAACGAGCTGGGTCCCCAAGCATAGGTGATATTTCTCAGTCCAGTTTACATTTGCATCTGTGAGTTGTAGGATGTTTAATCAGCTTCAAATTCTTTGCTATTGCCAGGCAAATGCTCACCTTGGCCTTTCTGTGTGATTCTGTGCAATCTCATGTGCAACGTGGAGACTTCTTAGTATGGTTTTTATTAGTAGGAGTGACTTCTTCCCTCATGGTCTGTGAAAGCTTTAAGTGAGAAAAATTAAGTATTTCCAGCATCTAAAAAAATATCTTTATGGGCCTTTCCTATTCAGAGAGGGTAAGATTGGCCTGTTCAACACTACCTTATTGTCATTCTGACCTGTTAAATTTATTTTTACACTGTTTTTTGTAATAATGCCATGAGAATGTAGCAATTGCCAAGCCAATGGCAATCATGAAATACTTGATGATTCTATGCTGAGGACCTATGGAAAGCAAAGGCTGCTTGCCTTCTGCTTTTCTGTTGCTCATATCCTTAGCTGCTGCATTCAAAGAGTGATTTGGTACACACTTGCATTGAGGTAAATGTAGAAAATACTCCAAAAATGGCAGTTAATCTAGGGCAAAAACTAGCATGTGATTGGAATGAACCCTAATCCAATACCTTTGGTTTACTAGTGGGTAATGTTTTCCTTTCAATGATTCTTAGTGAAATGCTTCACAGAGAAGCTGAAAGTTGGCAAAAAAATACTGTCTTTGAAAATTTGGCTCCAGCTGATTTTATACCTAGAAGCAGAACTGTAGATGATCACCTACAACTGGTTAATTAAATCCTATGCTGTTAGCCCTCAATTAGACACATGAAATTGCAAACTTTGTTAGCAGATTTGCTGGCCAAATATGGAGAGATTCTGTATATCATTCTGACTACTTTATATTTGGGCTCTTAAAGAATGTATGCAGCTTGTCTAATGAAGTGCCTGTATGTATGAGAGGAAAAAAAGAAACTGATTTGAGATCTCTCCCCCTGTTGGTCTGTCTGCCTGTGTCTCTGTTCAATGAGTGGGGTAAAACTCCTCTTATGGGTTTATTTAATATTTCTTGGACTCTTACCAGCAAGTTTTGACAGTCTGTTGCCTGCCTCTCAGATTAGAAGAACACTGGCATATTTTAACAGTTTCCTAGGATCCAAATAGTCTTTAATTAAGAGGGAATTGACATTTTGGAGTGCAACCAAAACATGGGAGACATGGGAAGCAGTGATCGGGCTTGGATCCTTCCAGCTTTTAGCTGGCTGTGGCAAGGGGCAAACAAATAAGTAAAATAGGGTCTGCTGCAAACAGGTAGTGACTTATTGGTATGCAAGGAGATTTCTTCATTTGCATTATGTTTCCACAGAGCTGGTGGTTGGTAGTGTTAGCCGGGAGGAGCTTTCTGCTGCACAGAGTCTGAATCAGCTCCACCCCTTGCAGGAGCAGAAAGTTTGTCGGTACCTTCCTATGAACAGAATTTCGGTGCTTGCTGAAACTTCTTAATTTAGATTTGTATTGATCAACTGTTGAGGCAGCAAGGTACGTTGTGTTTGCAAGGTTTAGGTTGATTCTGAAGCCCTAAGCTCTACAATTGAGCATTTAATTACAAAATCAAAAGTCTGCAAATGACATAACTTTTGCTGTTCTTTTTTCTTCTGGAGCAGTTTGCCTTTGGAGGGTTGAGCAATAGAGTTGGGGTGAAACACTGAAATTATAGCAGAATGAGACTAGTTGAAGGTCTAAAGGGAAGTCAGACATATGCTAAACTACTGTTCCAGATAATCCAGGGAGAGAAATGGTTTATTAGCTAATTTTAAATGATACATTGATATCTGAAGCAATTACTGGCAGAGAATTATAACCAACAGTCCCTGAGTCAGCTGTGCTTTTTTTCACTAATGCAGTCATTTGTGGACAAACAAAAATACATTTGTTTAATCCAGTATTTGCTTTTTATTGTTGCTTTTTTGTGTAGTACTTGCTGAATGCCTTCTGTCTTTTTTCTACACCTAGGTGGTACATGCCAGAGCCCTGCTCTTCCAGCGCTAGTGCGTCCTCCTGCTCCACCTTTGCAGCCGTCGCTGGATATTAAACCATTTCTTCCGTTTCCTCTGGACACTGCCGCAGCAGTCAATCTCTTCCCCAACTTCAATGCAGTAAGTGCACTCCTAACAGTTACTGTCCACCGCAGTGAGCCACAGTTTCCATGGAAGACTCAAGAGGGCACAAAGTAGAATTTTATGTACTCAATTAAACCTGGAATATCTTCTCCCATTCTGAGGGCCAAATAGCTCTTTCAGACACACTGGTAGGCCATAAATTAAAGCCTAGCTGAGTGTTAGTCAGAAGTAATGTAGAAGGAAAAAATGATATGATCCCAAGTGACATGCAATAAAGTTGCAGGCCATATTCAGTCCCAGGGCTTGTGAGTTTCCCACTCTAATTTAAGACGTGCGGAGTTTCACTAACTTCCAGCTCGCTGCAGCTCTCAGAGAGTGAAACTCTTAGACTGATGGCGTTCTACATCCCATCTCCAGCAAGCTTCTTGAGAAATACTTAAAATTTACAAATTGGAGGGACTACAAAAGATAAAACTGTCAAGGCAATTAAAGTAAGAATGAGAACAGCATTAGCTGGTATATGAGCTATTCACTGGCAAACAATGCAGTGTATTTTTTTCAGGTTACGTTATGTTACTTCTCATGCCTTAGGTTAAAACAAGGTTAGATTTCTCTTTAATAATTTTTTACTTAGTCATACTGTCCACAATTATAGAAAACTTATTCCTCCTTAAGTATTTTCATTATTTCACTGACATATGTCATGAATGTTTCAATTTTGCTGTTTCTGGTTGAGATATTTAATGCTCTAAAAGGAAAAAAAAGTCTAAATTGGTTTTATGTTGGTTTTGACTTTATAGAATTATGCCCCTTTTTGATTTGAACATACTCTGGGAAGTTCTTTTCCTTATTTACATATACTAGATATAGAAAAAAAAACCCTAAGAATGTGTGTGCTTACCTACTTTGAGAGACACCGGGAGGGCTGGAATTTGCCATGCCAAAACAATTCTAATTAACATGCAAAAATCTTAATTACAGTAATTAAAAGTAGTAAAAGAACATGCCCATTCTAGAAGCAATTTATAGTAATCAATAGCAAATTTCCGTAATTAAATGTTCATTTATTTACCTTTTATGGATGTTCATTTTGCTTTAAAGTAATTAAAATGAACTAATTGTCAAAAATATTTATTTATGCAGTCTTAAATTCGAGCAATTCACAGCATTAATAGAGATCAGAGAACCTATAAGCTGCAAGTCTTAAAATGCTCAGAAACAATATGTCAAGGAATTATTATTACAAAGAAAGTTTTTCAAATTTTAAAATGTATATAGGTATGCAGCAAAGTTTTTAAAAAGTGCTGGTTTTAACTAAGTTACTGATAACTCATCATGAAACGGATAAACTATTAGACTTGTTTAGTATGCTTTAGTTGTGGGGTTTTTTACTAGTTTTGCTTGTGATCACGGTTTGTATTTAATACAATAGGCCAGCTGAATTTTTAGAAATTGTCTCTTAGAATTTCTGTTTTTTTTCAGGATTTTCCATAGTTCAGAGTCTTCAGATTGTTTTGCTAATTGTTTAACTCTGCATAATTCAAATACAATTTTAATGATGGATTTTAATAAATAATTGTTAATCTTGTGTTGTTCCATAAATTTGCAGTTTCTTTCTTTCTTACAAAGACTGATTTTGTACTATAATTATTGGGGGGCAGGGGAAGATGTGCTCACATTCCTTTGGAAGTAAGGAAGTAAAAATAGACTCCTATCAAAACCCTGTTATTCCTGAACATCATCTTATTAGTATATCATTTGGTATAAGCACTGTAGTTGGACTTTACAGACTCCTCATCTCTTCAATTTTTCAGTAAACTGAGCCTAGGTTTCAAGAGTGAGACTAGCAGCCCTTTTTAACAGCACTCTGAAGTTCATTCCCGTGCAAAGTACTGCTTCCTGTGATGTGTGGCCATCTGCCAAGTCCACCTTTGCCAAATATGTCAGTCCTGAGTGTGAGGATGCTGTCATCAGAGCTGCTGTCACCTGCCTTGCTGCTCATCATTTTTGCCTTGCAACGTGACCTTTGCCTTTTCATCATGTGTGCTGACATGCAGCAGCATCCTCAGTGTTCACAATTTCATTCTGAACAGTACATTATTGAACGCTGCTATGTTTAGCTCATATGCCAGAGCTGGTTAACGGCATCCTCCAAACATGTAGGCTAGCTGAGAAGTTCTGCATATTTCCAGAAATTCTTTCCAAGCTGATGAATCTTTTGCGGACACATCAGCTGCTGCTGAGCATTATCAGCCTAAGGAGAAGGTAACCCCCATGTCACATTAGACTTTAAACAGGACGTCTGACAAAGGCTTTAAGTATGTGACTGTGAGACAGAAAACAAGTGTTTAACCAAAAAATGATCTTCGTAAATATGCATGCTCATGAACAATTGTAGCTATTGATAATGCTTTATATTCATTGGCTTCATTGACAATCCTTCACAGTGTCAGTGGAGAAGCATTTGTGTTCTGTGGCTAAACCAAGGTCAAGTGGGTGGTCAGTAAAAGGACACCAGAACTGGACATTCTCTCTTGTGTTGTCAATAAATTAGTTTTACCCTTGATTGAGATGTCAGGGTCATAGATTATGTCTTAGGAAATGGATTTCTGAAGACCTCTTGACCCTCACACAATTCCATAGGAACTAATGGGTTCGGCAGCATGTCCGAGCTACTTCCCAAGAGGCTAGAAGGAAGTCCAGAGTTTTGGCCATTTACTGGCCACTTTTCAGCAGCCTTCACTTGAGAAGAGCATGATCAAGGAGAAACTTGAGTAAAAATTTAGTTGTGTTTCAGAGAAAAGAAGTGGTCTCTGGTTGTGGCAATCCTAACTCCACTTGAGAGCTTGGTTGTGATAGGCATAGGCATCTGAGCTAATCAGCCTAAGCTTCTTTGCAAAACATAATGGAGAAAAATTAGCAGTTTCTCCAATTTTTTTAAGTGGAGAAAAATACACAAATGTAGGTTGCAATGCAAGCACCCTATATGTCTACTTTAGTATGAGGTGAAGTGAACCCTGAAAGTTCTCATTCATCTCTGCTGACTGTAAAGACGGACTGGCTCAGCTGCATCTACATTTAGTTAGATGAATCCCACATTATGGGACAGGTCATAAACTATTCACAGCTGATACGTTAAATTCCACTCAGAAATCAGATGACAGAAGCGCTGACACTGTATTGTATGTTTACAGAGGAATGCTCCCACTTATCAGTTATGCTTCTAATTTTATCTAAAGGCAATCTTAAGGTAATTTGAGGATTCAGATGAACTGGACAGAAGTATTAGGAGAGGTGAAAGCAAAAGTAACTTAGCAATGGAGAATCTCAGGCATGTACACAAGAACTAACAAAACCAAATACTGATCTTACGTATCACAAATAATAATAGTAAGGTGTTGTATTTTATAATATTTTTCACTCTATTTCAGTTTATTACAAACATAAGATTACTTTCTTTGTTACTGATGATTTTTCTCTAAAGCTAGCTCAGTTTTTGCTGACTGCCTCTGAAGAAAACATTCAGCACTGATTTCTACAAAGCCAAAAGCTTTCATTGGAGCAGAGAATAGAAGAGATAACATGAGTTGTGCAAACATTTATCAGTAATATCTCTGGACACTGAGGAGAGGGAAAAGTAAAAAGTGAGCAACCTGAGAAATGCAAGGAAGATAACATGTGAAACTTTGAACCATTTGGTTTCAGGAGGAACATTTTCTGTTTATACAAGAAAGCGTAAAGCAAACATACCAATTAACAATATGGTTAGCTGAACATTTGTAGGTGCTATGCTCTTAATTGTGAAGCAAATGGGTACCCTCAAGTTATATGTAAAAAGACATTTTAAGAACATAGCTGTTTAAAATGAAAACACCTCACTAGTGCACACCCTGAAGAATCACAAGTTCATTGTAAGTTTATCTGATATAAAAAGATGAATCAAGTGTATGGCATTTAAATGGCTAGATTTTATGAAAGAAAGAAACTACAACTATAAAGAATGCTTACATAGCTTTTTAAAATTGATTTGAAGATTGTCAGAGGAATAGGAAAAAAATAATTGTCTATTCTGAAAAATGTTTGAGATCATTTAGCAAACATTTGGTATAGTTCTACATTTTCATCTGCAGAGTGAGAAGCTTTAAGTCCGTGTGCTTCTGAGAACTAGTTCTTAGACACAAAGCTTTAGCAGTTGTATTGGATATGTGCTGGTCTGTGAGGGCATGTGAATGTGCGTACAGGGTGTTTCTGTTCATGAGCCAATGGCTGGTTGCAAAGAAATTTCACAAAGCATCAAAGTCTAGAAGTTAATTAACTTGTAGGAAAATATTGATATGAATTCCTGGACTAAGAAGAAATGCTACATTTTGCTAGACATCAGCATCAGCCCTAAGTAACCCTCACACAGAAAAAAACCTCAGATCTTTTTTATAGTCTTCAAAGCCCATCATCCTCAAAGCACAGATACATCAGAAACCAGGTTTTGCTTATATCTGAAGCTCTCAGAATTATATATTTCAGCCTCCTGAGAGACAGAATTTAAAATTTAAAATCCAGGACATTTGCCATTACTAGGTGGAAAATCAGACAATGCATTGCACTCCTTGTTTGTTTATTCTTCGAAGGATATGTAACCGTCTCTCTGAAAAATTTTCCCCCAAAATTATATCATGCTTTCCAGACTGTAGTATGAGCATAATCTGTAGTGGAAGAGGTCCGCAATGTAGAGGATCTGAGTAAATGCTTGTAAACAGAAACAGGGATGTTGCTTGAAAAGCTCCATCCTAACTCCAAATTAAAGCCTGATCTCCCCTTGTTGCAAGTGGAAAGTTTCCCAAAGAAGCATTCTTTGGAAGGAAACATGATTACAGTTTTGACTAGAAACGTATGACTTGGAAGAGCAGTGGCAATGTCAGAACTGTACTAAACGTGGATAGAAAATGAACTATTACTCTACAAACAGCTCTTTCTCATGATCCATCTGTAGTAATCTTTGTTCAGTCCCCAGATTTTTCCTGTTTGCTTGTTCTATGCCA